TGGTTTCTCTAGGCATGTCTTTATGGATATAAATTTAGAATATGCCTCTATCACTGGTAAAAATTTCAGATCGTTTGGTCGACATCTGGTGGAGATATTTAAATTTCTTATCGGGGTGTTATTTATTGGACACCCTGTATTGTATATATCGAAGTTTATGCATCACTTAATCGTTAAAAGAATATGAACTTGTTTTTTATGCGTTTACGAATTTATAAATTCAAAAATGTTTGGAACGACAACAACATTGTAGTTCTCAATGTGCAAATAAACGTTCATATGACTGGGATGAATCACCAATTACGCTTTGTGAATGCTGTTTTCTTTTCTTTATATTGTTCATTCACTTCCTGTCGTTTTATTCATCAGTTACACTCTTATATGACGGCATCAGATAATTTTAGAGAGGATATTCCAGACAAATACTTGAACATTATATAAAAGAACATCCCTTTCAAATAGCAATCTTTCAATTTAATTCAAACCTCTGATCAGTCAATGTGCTCACGCTTGAAAGGAGTTCATCATAGCGCCGAACCGTATCATGGTGACTCATTGACATAACTTGATATACATTGAATTTACTGTAATAAGAAGAAGTCATTAATTCTTAGCATCGTTCTAATTTACTTCAATCAAAGGCGTAACAAATGTTGTGTCAGTTGATTTGAGGATAATCTTATCTTTTATGAGCATGATATCATTGCACTATTCAAATATTAAGCTCAATGTTTTTCCTTGCTGTTCTCTCTTTGTTTATTATATTGGAAGACAAAGTTCTTAGGTTGAAGTAACTCGAGCTTCTCTACAGCATATCATTGCTATAGCGCCTTCAACTATTCAGTTGATTATAATAAAATCTAAAAAGAATGTAGAGATTCTGAGCAGAGCGAGATGTGGGTGAAGAGGAGACACATATCCACACCTACATGCCACCAAACTCAGTTAGAAACAGATTTGTTTTTATCGTTTTCTTGAACATATCAACTAAATCAAGTTGAAACACTCGTTGAGCTCGATGATATGAACCTAAACAAATGGAATATTTAATTAATTTATTCGCGGCGATAGGATCCACTGGTGGGTCGCACTATATTTTAAGATGAAACTTTATAGAAAAGCATTTTCTTTTCCTTTTTTTCTTATGCATGAAGTTACACACAATTTGTCATCTGCTGCGCCTTGGCTACTGTTTAAATCATTTATTGTATAGCGTGATGCTTCTCGTTCAAAACAATCAAGACCAAAAAAACTTTGTCACAATCAGAAAAGAAGGTTTTTGATTTTCTTTGCTATCACATAGCTCGCTTCTGTTGATTGTAGCTTCCTATTTTTCTCATAATAACCAGCACAGCGTTTTCTGACAATGCGCATAGATCCTTCCTTTTCTTCAAGCTTGTGATAACATTCACAAAACTATATCAAATGACATGTAAATCATTGCACAATTTCGGTCTTTTCATAGAAATGAGAAGAAACAGTCGAAGATAATCTTACAAAAAGAAAACAAAAGAACAAGATTGGCATTGTGTTTCTTTACCGCGTTCTTACTACGTAATACATATAAGTAAAAGAGAAAAAACAATCTTGAGTAACTATTCAGTTCGACATGAAACAGGATTAGCTATGAAATAATACAAACAAGAAAAGAAAACCGAATGACTGCATTTACAGAGGGTGAATACATATGAAAATGATATTCACTATTTTGCAAAATTATAATTTGATCAATTTGCAAAAAAAACTCTAGAAAGTCTGACGCCTGATATTCTTGATTTTTACATTTAATTAATTTCTTCGAAAAAAGTCTCGAAAGTAAATAATATAGAAGCACATTTTTCAGCTGACCTATATATGATTTATTAATTATAAACTTGTTGAAGAAACAAAGTTTAGGAACTAAGTGTGTACATATATGTAAAACCAAATATAAAGCGATGTTTCACCGCTTTATATTAATAGAAAAATTGTAGACAAGAATAATAAAAAGTGATAGAATTTTGAGAAAAAAACTATGGAGTGCATTCTTTATTGTCATACGTTTTCAGACAATGAGAAGTTTTGTTGTCTGTCGAACTTGAGCTCGAACACATCTTGGCCACCATATTGACACGTTTTGACATACCATTTACCTTCGAATTGACGATTTCGAGCGTTCCATGCTAATTGAATTGTGACTTGATGACCTAAGTTTTCTGATCGATCGCCTGTACCTAATTGATATGTTTTTGTCATACCTATTCGGTTTGTTTCAAATGAATAAATTCCATCGATTGTAAATACACCAACATCATCTGATCCTGATCCTGTTACTTGCATTGATTGCGAATTGAATGAAAGTGAAAAATGATGAGGTCCATGTCATCTCCCATATTGAAAATATCGACTAGACCAGATGCCGGACTGAAAAGGATTAACTTTATATGCTTCTTGTTGATTGATATTTTGATTTACTAAGTTAATGAAGATTGAATTATTTTGACGTGGTCGACCTTGACGATGCAAGTAGCAGCAATGTAGGCCTAACAATAGCAGTAAAAATCCAACGAGGCCGCCAAAAAGACAACCATGAACGATCTTATTATGTCGTTTACAATCATCAGTCGTGCAATTGTTACCACCCCTAAAACTACCTGAAATAGATAATACATCAGAATATATTATAATAACAATAAATAAAAATTTCGAAAATATTGTAAAAATATATATCTATAGTCATAACGTTAGAGAATTTTCAATAAAAAAAAAGTAAAACAAAATACCTCCACCGATAAAAGCAACACCTCCACCACCGCCACCTTGACAATCAATGAAAACTGCAATGTAGACAATGAGTAGCAGCACCTGATAGGCGATATACATTGTATTGTTAGTAAATGTAACTTGTAGCTTATATCTCGAAATACTAGGAGTATTTATAGATGGTCTATAACAATACGAAACGTAATGAGCATCTTTTCCATGAACATAGTTCACGTAAGCAATTAATATATTGTTTAGTCTGTGGACGTTATGATGACCGCTTCAGACTGAATGAAAAATGGTTTAGATACTAAAGGAAGACAATAGACAATATTCAGAGGTTGCAGTTTAGACGAATAGTGAGAAGAGGTCATATTAAAAGGAAAAGTAATTTCTCTTTATCGCGAATACTACGTACGATGAGACTGATTTATTTATGCACATCTCTTATTGTCAGCAGTTTAGATCTACTAAAAGATCCTGTCGACGAGATTCAGACGGTACTAAACAAGTACGGTGTTACGAAATCTGAATGGGACTATTTCGTTGAAACAATTATGCATATTTTATTTAATACAAAATGACACAGTAGAGGAGTAGCGTTAGCACCATCCTTAGTAAAGGTATTGACTGTACTACTTCATAACTACAATTGTGTATCTCATATCGGACACAATCTCGTACAGGAGAAAGGGAGAATAGTGATCTTACGAAAAAGAATAGTAGAAACAATGTGAAGAAAGACAAACATGACAATGCAGCGGTTAGCGCATTTCTAAGCGGGCAAAAGGTCAGACGATGCATTCAATGAGAATGCTTCTATTATTGGCACATACGGCATTCTCATTTAGAATATTTATACCATTCTGATTCGTTCTTTAGTGGTTTATATGTCAGTGTAGTGGTATAGAGAAGTATTTCGTTACAAACTTGTAACACCAAAAGCACAAACACTAATTTTATATTCGCCAAAGTCACATTCATCGTGTAGAACTTTCATCGCGACATATTTCCAATGCATAAGATTTAGTATAAAATAGAATACGTGCAATTTGAATTAGTTATTTCGTTCTTAGTTTAATTATGTATTATACAACTTGTATTAACAGTCTAATTGAGTAGAAGATGTTTTTACATAAGTCATTCATAGTAACTCAAATACAAAATTACACTAGCGGGATATCAAGCAGATCTGATTATTTCTGAATGATCTAAAGGAAATAAAAATAATTCATCTTTGATACATTATTATGCAAAATGTGCGAATACATTGTGCTTACATTCTCCTAAATCGTTTGTAAGAGATCATGGTTTTATATATATTTGTTAATCATTCGTTCAAACAAGTATATTTTCTCTCTATTATTCAAGTAATCAGCTGTTTAAATGGTCATATAAAATAATTTCTACACACTTTAGTACCTGTGCCACTGATATACCGTTTTTTTCTATCTAACATAAATTAGTCTTGACTTTCCAGAAAAATATTAGAATATCAATGTATTTTGTTATGTTTTCATACGTCATATAAACATTGTATTATGGAAATCATAATTTGAAAAGGAACAAAAATATGTTCAACTGGTTTCGATCTATAAGAATATTGAATTTCTATTATTACATATTTATGCATAATAAATTGACAAATGGTGCAATATCATTATTCTTACTTTGATGATTTTAAAATGAATAAAAATTCTTAGTAGGCTGGAAAAAAACCAGTAAACAAAAATATTTCATGTTATTTATCCAATATAGTAAACAAAGAAAATCTTTGTATCCCTCCACAATCATTAGTCTCTCACATTCAATATTGTCATTTATATATTGAATAAGTTTATGAGATTTCAAAGTTTTCTAAGGTAAAAATACACACAATTAAATTAATCTATCTTTATCGTACATTATCCGAGCAGTTGTTACAAAAAAAAACAAAGTATTGGAAAACAATTTCTTTATACTTCATCGCACATTGATAGCTGTTGTTGCCTGCTGAGTTTGATCTCAAATTTATCATCGCTATAGTATTAATCCGTTTGTACATACTATTTGTCTTCAAACTGATAATTATCTGAATTCTATGTCAATTGAATTGTGACTTGATGACCTAAGTTTTCTGATCGATTGCCCGTATCTAATTGATATGTTTTTGTCGAACCTATTCGATTTATTTCAAACGAATAAATTCCATCGATTGTAAATTGAGTGATAGTGAGAAATGATGAGGTTCATGCCATCTTCCATATTGAAAATATCAACTAGACTATAAGCCGGACTGTTTTGATCTGTCAAATTAACGAAGATTGTATTCTCTTGGTATAGTCTACCTTTACTGCGTTTGTAGCAAAATACTCGTAATATAGATATTAGAATCAATCCAACGGAATTACCGATAAAAGGATGTTCGTGTGGGAATGAGTGCACTTCTTATCAACGACATCCACAGCCAGCCTATGTGTATCACCGTCTTTTTTTGAAACATCTTTATCTATTACTATGAGTGACGTGTTGATAAAGAATAATATTCAACCCATTCAACTCGTCTATAGCGCCAATGTGTCTTGATCGGTATAAGAGTTTTTCTCCGCTTCAGTTTGATAAAAGGTTGTGGAATAATAAACGAACAGTAATCTTCTGATAGACAAAATGTATGAAACACAGTATCAAATCACATTTGTTGCAAAATAAAAGTACGGTTGTAGTTCTAATAATCATGGAGTCGGTACAGTTAATTCAACTTTTGATATTACTATTCCCCGTTTACAAAATAACGCGAACATAGTAGCTAGCCATTTTTTTATTATTAGCTTGAAAATTAATTTTGTATAAAGAAAAATTTTATGACCAAGTATTGGGCAATGATGACATCTGTTTCAGGGCTGGGCGAGTCCGAGTCATTGATTCCAAAAAACATTTCATCTACTCTCATTAAATAAAAATTAATTTTATTCTCACTTATTCATAACTTCTCTCTTATTACATGCATAACATTCGAAGAAAATTTTCAACAGCTTTTTTCGATCTATTTATTCATATGGTTTGAAATGATAACCTAAATGTATTATTGAGTATGTGTTTTTTTTGTTGTTATTTTGGTTGAGCTTATCTTTGAAGAATGTACCAATGTATGTGATAAAATAAATCAAACTATGGCATTTCATCATGTATCATATTCTTTATTATGCTATAATATAACTGTTGGGTGATAGTATTTTTGATTAATAAAGTTTTCCGTTATATATTGCATATCATTTATTTCTCAATAACGAGTATTGATTCAGGATCTTCTTCTCATCCACGTCCACACCTGCTACATCAGCAACATTTGAACGTTTATTTTCTCATGCATTACTGTTGTCTTGAACTGTGTGAAAAAGAAGAGTTGATTTTTCTATAATTGTTTTGTTGATTAATCAAGAGTGATTGCCATTTTTTATTTTCTGTATGACTTTTCTTATTCTTGTTTTTTCACATAAAAGCTAGGAATTAAATATCATGTAATGAAAACTTCTTGTAAACATGTGTCGACTCGACTCAGTTCGAGAAATGGGTTGACTCTCTCTGTCTTGATTTTCTCTGATTTTATTGCAGAAAAAAGTAGAAAAGTTTTGTTTTTGCGACTGTGAATAGTGTTTGCTCATTCTGCTTTTTCTATTCACATTAGATTAGATTTAAACTTTTTATGTTCGAACTGGTCATTAACTAAAAAGGTTAACACAGTAGTAAAATTGTTTATTATGTTCCAAGTATGGAAATGAAAGAGAGCAAACGTAGGTTTTCAATGGAGTGATTACAAAAATAATGTGTTCGTACTTTTATCTTGCCACACACCACCGTCTAGAGAAATTTTTTGAGCCTATCCTAGATTGAAATCGTTGCACTGTCTATGCTTACTACTTAAAATAGTATGTGTCAAAAAGTCGATTTTTGAAAATACGTTTTTTATCTTTTCAGTAAACTTGAAATCTTAATTCCGAGATGTAAACAAAAAGTATATAGGATATTTTGTAGAGCAAACGTTGCTCTACAGAACTGACTGATTTAGACAATGTTTTCATATTTTGATTTGATTAAGTTTCAATCAAAATGCAAAATAGTCTCAAATAAAATTCTATGTCGAGTTCATTTTCGATCTTTTCAATTATATGTTCACAATTGAATAATATTAAGTCAGAAAAGAAACGTTTAAACACATATTCAGAAAGAGCAAAAAATTCTGCGTTGAACGAATTACCTTTAATTTTCAATGGTTCCTTTTAGCTGGTCAAAAGATGAACGAACATTTTGTGTTAAAACTCTTGCAACAGAGGCTACGTCGTAGCTAACGGCAGTTTGACATTATTGCCGTCCGTCATAACGCTTGTTCTAGTTATTTTTGCCTTCAGTTTATCGCAGAATGAATGATTATTCATCCCAAACACCAGCAAAGTTGTTGCCACTCACTACCCTTGTGATGAAGAAATGGTCTATGACTCGACTCAACATTACCATATTCTGAAAAATTGTCATAGCCTTTGTATTATTGAAAATGAAAGAGCATGTTAAGAAACCTATAAAGCCAAATTTTCAGACTGATA